AACTACCATGAGTCTGGGACAATTCCCAGCCATTATCAGGGAAATCAAAAAGCCCCACTTCAGTGGGCCTTCATTCAGCTTCAAGTTGGTCCACTTGCTAGTTCCATCCTGAACTTGAGATGCCAGTTCCCTAACTGTTCCCAGTTCCTGCCCTGGTTTCTTAACCTTTCCTGACAGATCTCCGTAATGCCTAGATCAGAACTTCTCAGACTTTAATGTGCACATAAATCCCTGGGTACCTTGTTAAAATGAAGATTATGATCCAGGAGGTCTCGGGTGGGGCCTGAGATTTTGTTTTTCTAACAAGCTCTTGGATAATACCCATGTCTCTGGCTCAAGGACCACAATTTGGGTAGTAAGGGCCCATAGCAACAATCTCCTAAATGTGCTTCCTTTCTTACCCTCTCCCTCCACAGAAGACAAGGTACAATATTTCCATGCTGGCATGATCTCTGGATTGCACACTGCCTGCTTCATTGGTCCGCAGGACAGCAGAGTGTTGTGATCCCTGGGGACCTTGTGGGAAATACTGATTCTTGGGTTCCATCCTCAGAGATGCTGACTCAGAAAGTTTGGGGGAGGGCCTCAGAATCTGTGTTTTTAAGAAGCACCCCGGGCAAACCCTCCTACACTGCTGGTGGGAATGTAAACTAGTTCAACCACTGTGGAAAGCAGTATGGAGGTTCCTCAAAAAACTCAAAATAGAAATACCATTTGACCCAGAAATTCCACTCCTAGGAATTTACCCTAAGAATGCAGCAGCCCAGTTTGAAAAAGACATATGCACCCCTATGTTTGTCACAGCACTATTTACAATAACCAAGAAATGGAAGCAACCTAAGTGTCCATCAGTAGATGAATGGGTAAAGAAGATGTGGTACATATACACAATGGAATACTATTCAGCCGTAAGAAGAAAACAAATCCTACCATTTGCAACAACATGGATGGAGCTAGAGGGTATTATGCTCAGTGAAATAAGCCAGGTGGAGAAAGACGAGTACCAAATGGTTTCACTCATCTGTGGAGCATAAGAACAAAGCAAAAACTGAAGGAACAAAACAGAAGCAGACTCACAGAACCCAAGAATGGACTAACAGTTGCCAGAGGGAAAGGGACTGGGGGGTGGGGAGAAGGGGACTAAAGGGCATTACGATTAGCACACATAATGTGGGTGTGGGGCACGGGGAAAGCAGTATAGCGCAGAGAAGACAAGTAGTGATTCTATAGCATCTTACTACGCTGATGGACAGTGACTGTAATGGGGTATGTGGTGGGGACTTGATAATGGGGGAATCTAGTAACCACAATGTTGCTCATGTGATTGTATATTAATGATACCAAAATAAAAAAAAAACAAAGGCAAAAGTTAGAAGTATAATGATAAAAAAAATGTACTCAGGCATCTCCATGTGATAACTTCTCTGCATTTTACAGTATATCTTCTTCATACATTTTCTGAAATATATTATTGTAATGAAAAAAAAAAGAAGCACCCCAGGCAATCTTGATGACTTTTTTAAGAGCCAGTGTCTTATAAGCTAAAGCTCAACCTAAACCTTTAACTGTAAAGTCTTCCCCAGCAGACCCATTCTCCCTTACTTCTCATGTGTTACTGCTCTTCAAACCTTTGTCCCATGTGCGCTGTCTCTCAAGCAGACCCAAAGCATCTCCCTCTCTTTACTCTAGTTCCACTTACAAATTCTACCCACTCTATAATTAATTTATCTTGTCTGTGTATGTTTATTGTTTCTCCACATAGCTGCTAGCTACTGAAGACCCAGTGCCATACACACAACTGGTGAGAAAAGACTTTGTCTCCACTCCCTTTGGTCCTGTCAAGTCCTCCCATCCTCACAGATTCTACCAAGTCATTCCCTTCCCCAGCACCCCCAGCCCCAGCCCATATTCAAACTCTATGGAAAATCCACTTTTCTGGAAGAACGGAAAATGTGGCTCTCTTGACTAAAATAGAAGTGACACCCCTGCCCCTACACATAAGAAAGGATACTGAGTCACACTCTAATTCTATTCAGAAACTAGAGTACTTGAGGACAGGGACTTTGCATTTTATTTGTTCTGTTTTCTTTGTTCATAAGCCTTAGGCATCTCATGCTCACCATTAAATAAAAAGCTAAGCAAATGTCTGAGTATGTTTGCTGATCTGCCGGAAGATGACACATAATGGTAGGGATAGAAAGGGTCATTATAGCTAATTAGTTGAGATGACATCAAAATTCTCTAATTAGCTTTTTAAAACATCCTAGCTCCCACAAAATACTGTGTTGAAACTGAATATATCCTCACTCCTAAACTATCATAAGAACAGTCTATAGGGCTGTGACACATGTAACGCTAATGCCAGCCTTGAGACGTCACTATCTATCAGCATCAGCTTGACTTACATGGGAAGAAACACTAAGTGCCCAGTTGAATTTAAGAAGTGAGGGTAACTCATCCCACAGGGGTGTCTAAAGAAACAAAGGGAAGCAACACCCAGGAGTCCTCTTTGTGAACCAAAAATATGCCCCCATGGGCCAACCTTCTTAACAAGAATACAAGATCCATCACCATCTCACCCAAACCAGCCTCTAGCTGCATTTCACACTGCTCTTTCCCCTCGCTCTCTCTTCCAATCTAGATGGCCTTTCTGGACTTGTAGCTGTCCCCTGCTCAATGTTGTGTTCTTTCCTTTCTACCTCTATGCTAGGCATGTACCATTTTCTCTGCTCAAAAGGTCCTGCCAAACACTTAACGTTTAAGACCAAATGTTGCCTTCTTTGGAGAAAAGGCAGTTGCTTCATTCTAAGGAGGGGATGGAGTCTAAATCACAACTTTTTTGGTGTTTTTAAGAAGCGAGAGTTTACTTCTATTTCAACAATACTCAAGGAACTTTCAGAAGGTTGAAGGCCCAGGGACATCTGGGTTTAATATAATTTTCTAACCAGCTGTTGGCTGTTGCTTCCTCTGTTTCAAAATCCTCAGGACAACCACAGGCAGTTCCATGTCTTGCTAATTCTTCTAGTTCAAGGGTGGTTAATTCCTCTGAATTTTGACATAAATCTACAAGGCTATACCTCCAGGAATGATGACAAACACAATGCCACAAGCAGTCATTGTCATGAGGGAGGGAGAAAGGTAAATGATCACAGAAGAAAGCAGCCACAGCAATTTCAAGAAGCCAAGTTATATATAGATCCAGTATAGAAGGAACAGAAATGTTGGCAGAATCTACACAAAAACCCTCTGTGAGTGATTTTTTGAAACCAGGTGCTCCAACATGAGCTTGAGTAGCTGGGACCATGGCAGGTCTTATACCAAATAACGTATATCTCCATGTTATTTTTCTCAGGCTCTTGCCTGGAAACTGGTAGATGTTCAATGAACATGTTTTAAGTGACTGGAAGAGTTGCTGTTCATTCACCTGCATGAGTAGGACCTTTTGTCTATTGATCTGAGGTCAATCACTCTTCTGACCTTTTTGGGCTTTTCCAAAGTAAAATCACAATAATCTCTCTCAATCACAATAATAATAATAGCCACAGTAATAGCAGCTAATATGAATTGAGCACTTACTATGTGCCACATACTGGGACATTGTAGCATGGATAATTGCATTTAGCTTCACAAATTATCCCCCGTTTACAGATAAGGAGCTTGAAACTTAAGATACCAAGTAACTTGCCAAGGTAGTAAATGAGGGAGCTAGGATTTAAGCTCAGAGCCCAAATATGTACTAAGCTATACTCCTAGCCTCTAATCGGCACCACTAGGCTTCTGGTTAGAGACTCATTACTGGTGATGCTGATCTCCATCGACAAGCTCTTCCCCCTCCAGCCCCGCGGCATCAGACTCTCCTGCTGGTGAAGGGAGCACAGGCCCTTTGGTTTGTGGAAGCAGCGCTGTGGTGTTGTGACCTGCCACTGGAAATTTCCATGACAACACTCTTAGGGGCTTTCTGGGTGGGCCATGGCATAGTATTGAGTGCAAGCTTCTTTATTCCTCACAGATCCTTAAAACCCAAGCCTGCAATGGCATCACCTGTTACTAGCTTCCTGCAGTGCCTCGAAGAGCGGCTCGCCGCAAGCTTGATGATAGACCCTGTAATGCATCTATAAGTTGGCTAAGGGTCTAAGCTCAAATCTAATCATACCTCCTCAATAAAGCCTTTCCCAGCACCCTCTCAACTCTAAGTTATTTATTTCCATTCCCCAATTACTCAATATTCTATCTATAATTCCTTTATGTTCATTTCCTGACCAGGGCTTATGAGGAAATTTGCTATAAAACGTGGAAGCGTTCAATAAAAAATTACAAATAACAGCATCCAAGTGCCAATTCATGTAATTTTGAAATCCAGTGAGAAAAGACCCATTTTCTGGAAAAGACTCCTGATCTTTGAGAGTTAAGAACACAGCTGGCTCCTGATTTTATTCTCCTTGGTGAAGGCAACAAGAATGGCCTGGCCATCTGCAGGGGGGAGCACGTGTGTGTTCAGCAGCTGGTTTTCCCTGACGGCAGGTGCTGCCGGTTTCAGTGCCGAGTCATGGGCCTGTTTTTCCTCAGGAGCAGTCCCCGTTCAAAGAGGCAGTGCGAAGGCTGAGTGCACCCGCTCACACGGAGAATCCTCTGTTTTTAATTCAGAGCCAGGTGTGGTTTTAGAGCAACTGTAACATGTCATTCTAACAGGTTGGAAAAGATGAGAAAATGCGATATGAGTTCCACCTGGATTCATGGCCACAGTATTAGAAAGGCTTCCAGGGCCTCTGCAGAGGGCCAACAACACTTGTTAAATACCTGCCACAGGTGCTGTGTCGCAGAGGAGAGAGGCCAAAGGTATCTGTTAAAGTCTGCCGGTCGGTCCTCATCTGGGGAGAGCAGGCGGCCGGGTAGTGATTGAAGTGTCCAGCAGGGGGCTGGCATTCTCTGTCTGTGAAGTAGCCCTCGTTCTCTTCAGAGCCTCGGCTCAGCAGAGCTGCCGTTTGCTGGTGAAGCTGGTGACGCGCAAAGCATCCTGCCTATAGGATTTGAGGCTTTCTCAGTGCAGGTTTTTTCCTACCACTTTAAACCTTCAGGTTCTAAATATCAAGGAAGACAGGAAATGCCGTGTGAAAATAGCAGGCCAAAAGTTGTTAGTACACTGCAGCCAGGGAGACTCAGGCTAGCATGGAGGTAGAAAGAGTTGATGGTGGATGGATTTAATTCTAAGTCTATCTGGGGGCTCAGTTTTTCTTGTTTTATTGCCAATTTGCTGCATTTAGAGATGGTCTGCCTTGGTCATGTGACAGCCAGAGCAGCACCAGCATCAAAACAGTGACAGACAGTTCTGAATGCCAGAGTATATGTGTACTCAAGAGTATTTTTATTCAAGAAGATGAAGTGCCCAGCATAGATTTTATCCTCATTTCCAATTGAAATATTTCAATTTCACTTGCAAAAGCAAAAGTTGAGAAACAGCATCTAAGGGCACTTTTTAGGGGGAAAATTCTAGAGGATGGCTCTGAATGATTGTTTTCTTCTGAACTTGGAAGTGGAACATTTCGTACACTGCAACATCTCCAATCACAGTGTGGATCTCCCCATGAACGACGACTGGTTCCACCCGGGAATCCTGTATGTCATCCCTGCAATTTATGGGGTCATCATTCTGATAGGGCTCGTGGGCAACATCACCCTGATTAAGATCTTCTGTACCGTGAAGTCCATGCGGAATGTGCCCAACCTCTTCATTTCCAGCCTGGCTTTGGGAGACCTGCTCCTCCTGGTAACCTGTGCCCCCGTGGACGCCAGCAGGTACCTGGCTGACAGATGGCTGTTTGGCAGGGTTGGCTGCAAGCTGATCCCCTTTATCCAGCTGACCTCGGTTGGGGTGTCTGTCTTCACGCTCACAGCCCTCTCAGCAGACAGGTAAGTCCTGGAGAGAAGTTGCTTTCTCTCTGCCTGTGGTAGATGCCCTGGCAAATGAGCTTCCACGTTGGGGCAGACGGAGTTGTTTGCACAAAGGGCAGTTTCACTCCAACTCAGATTCCTTCCCAGGCACGTTTTTGTTGTGGGGATTACTTCTTGAGTTTGACATATTGATTTAAGAAAAAAAAGTGAGTGGGTGGTGGGGACAAAAGGGGACAAACAAGAAAAAAGTCTCTGGCACCTCTGAGCATTAAGGTGCATTTTCTGGAGACAATCAGTTTAGCATTGCTTATTCCTAACTTCTCCCTCCTTGCAAAACTAATTGGTAAGAAAAAAAATGTCACACCTAACAGAGTTTAAACCTCAGGCAAATGTTTCCTAGAAGCGATTCAAAATATTCAGATAACAAAAAAGTGCCACTGCATTTCTTCTTCAAAATATTCTTTCCGACAATAAGCAGCAGCTCCTTGAAATTCTTTGTTCTTAGACGGTTGAACTTTTCTCACAGCTGATTTTGTGTTTAGCTCCCTATAACTGAACAGTTCATGTGCTGATTTTTCAAGTCTCCTAAGTGAAATCAGACATTATTTGGATTTTTTTTTCCCTTGAGGAAAGCTCCATTCAAGGTCGAGTTTGAATTTTACTATCTTTATTGATGTATTTCTGTATACAGTGTCTTCAGGTTTTTGGGGTGGGGGTGGCTAGGGGAGAAATCCAGTACAATTTTATTATCCAGCTTTATTGTGGAAGTACACATATTTGTGAACTGCATTTCTTGTGTGACCATGCTGCTTCAAAATTCACATTTATTCATTCTTAAAAATTCATATTCATTCTTTGAACATTTATCAACTGTTTATCATGTCAAAACACTTACTTGAATTAGCCCATCAGGAAATACCTGCAGGTTGCTCATACAAATTGCTGAAAGTAAGTATCTTATATACTTCTGAGCTCTAGAAATTGGACACAGTAATGAAAAGAGTCCAGATTCACCATGGACCATATGGTCAGATTAAGAAAAACTGCTACAAAGAACTAGAGATTATAAATTTTTATTTTAAAATCAACTGTATGTTATAGTGTTAAAGATACATAAGGATTTGAGATGTACTGGGAAAGGCATAGAAGCGGCTCTTGAAAGTTTATAACTCCAAAGAAATTGCTCCACATTTTAGTACATATGGTGCTGGATTCTCATTTTGTAGAGGAACAAACTGTCCCCAGGTGATCTGGCTTTGCAGAGTAATGGACAAATAAAGATAGTGTTATCACTGTTTGTAGACACGTGCTTACACTTAGCTGCCTGGAGTACACTGCTCAGCACACACAACATTTCCAAAGATTGAAAAATAGTAACCCAGAAACAAGGCTTGTCCATCATACTGACTGGACCGGCTTTCTCATTACCCCTGCTAGTCCAGCTCACTCTAATCCTGAGCATTTGCCCACCCGGCATAATGGCTGCAGGCAGTTTCACGTGTTGATTCAGAGCAGGCAAACTTGGGAGTGGGCAGGTCTGTGGCTGGTTACCAATGGCCGTGGGCACCTCAGGATGAGGGTAATATTCCCCATGGGAAGGTGCGGTTTGGGTGTCCGGGTTGGTGAGTGCAGTGGTATGGATGGTGTTTACTGTCTTCTTGGGGAGGTGGGTGGCAGGGACAGAGAGGAAGGTGAGGTGTGCGATGTGAAGAGGCAGCTGCCGGGGACTCTTCTCCTGAGTTTCAAAGCTGACCAAGTCCCCCATGAGCAGGAAGGCTCTTTTCCACACTGGGTTGTGCCCCTTGGCAGTTCTAGTGTGTTCTATAGTTACTGCTTGTCTTTCCCAGGTTCAGAAATTACTATAAGCATCCATATAACTAACTTTTTGTTTTTTGTTAAGGCTAATGGATCACCTGAATCGCAGATAGTATGTCTAGCCAGTTTCAACAAGAGTAGGTACTTAGCTACTTAAGTAATGTAAGATGCTACTTACCTATTTATCTCATTTTTAAAGGCTATTGGAGCCTTGTAACAACCACATGAGGTTCACAGAGCAAATACACACACACACACCTGTATTTTTTTCTTCTCTTTAAGGTATGCTCTATACACACAGTAATGAACAAGTGTACAGCTCAATATATTTTTATGTATGTCTACATAACCACATAACCACCACCCAGATGGAGATATAGAATAGTTCCAGCATCCCAGGAGTTTCTTTTGTGTGCCTTTCCAGTTAGTACCCAACCCCATCGAGAGGCAATCACTATCCTGAGTTCATTTATCATAGATTCTTTTTATCTCATATAAATGGAATCACACTACTTCTGCTTGTCATTATATCTGTGATAGTCATCTCTGTCAGTGGCCACAGCAATGGTTTTTTCTTTTAATTTTTGTGTAGTACTCCATTGTATGAATATACCTCAGCTTATTTATCCGTTCTAACACTGATGGACATTGGGTTGTTCCAAGTTTGGGGTTGGTAATAACCTGCTCTGGATATTGTTATTCATGCCTTTTGGGGAAGAGAAGTGTTTATTTCCCTTAGGTATATGCCTGGGGCTGGAATTGCTAGACCATACTGGCCTTATATATTAGAAAATATTGTCAGAGTTTTCCAAGCTGGTAGTCTGTGTATGAGAGATGGGTAAAGGGTGAATCCGAATACCCTTCACATTGGACGATCATCACAGCCATTGGAGAGCTTAAAAATATGTAGATTTTTAGCCCCCATCCTAAATGTACTGAATCAGGGTTTCTGAGGTCTGAAGAGGCGTAGCCATATTCATCCACGCCTGCTGCTCTAGGCTGCCCAGCGATGCTGGTGCTCATCCTAGCCTCCCTTCGGCAGTCCTCTCCCTCCCCAGGTGAACTTGAGTCTTTGTTAATATGAAGAGAATAACACTTTTCTAGAAAAGTTGATACTGTTGGCACTGTGTCAAAGGCAGACTTTAAGGCAGTCCCAGAAACCCACATTCTCAGTTTTGCCCAGCTGACCAATTGCTGACTTGCATCCAAGCATCTTTACTATTGGTCCTCCTCATGTCCCCCACCCACCTTCTGTGCTTTCCTCCCCTTTGACACACTGGTGTCCTCACCCCCGGGGATTACGCTGGTGAGCCCCTGCTTCTGCTTCCTTGGTCACGCTGTGTCCCACCCACTCTCCAGAATGCCTTCTCCTTCCCTGAACAGAAGACTCCACTTCCCATTCCATGTGAGATCTGGGCTTGCACTGCACATCAGCAGCCCTGCAGGTCAGGCGTTTTCTGCCATTGCTACCCGTGTAAGGGAGCTGGACCAAGGCGCCTAACTCCCTGACTTTAGTTGAATCATCTCCAAAATAATAGAGTTGAACTAGATTATTTCTCAGATCCCTCCAAATTTTAAAATCTTACAATTTTTATTTGTCATCTTGCCTATCATTTGGAATCTGGCTCAAGCCTCCTCCTTAAAGCCCTAAATTGGACCATTCTAGCCCAGATTTCCTGACCCTTTTCTAAACCTGAGGCTTATTATCTGAGACATGAATTATCTTGTGACATCTTTCATCTTGCTGTTTTGAAGTATTTCACTGATTTGTCTTTTTTTAGCCTCTCATATATTCATTGCTTTAACTTTCCAAGTAGATTATTAAAAATGTTGAGGGCAGAGATTTCTCATATATTTTTTTTATGTTTTAATCTTTATTTATTTCATTGATGTATAGTCAATATACAATATTATATTGTATATCATGATTCAACAGTTTTCTCATATATTTCATATCTTCTACAATACCTCACATGGTTCCTTGTACCCAATGGGTGATCAATAATTATTAATTCATTAAAATTATGATTAATTTATGCATATTTTTCTTCTTATTCTTATTGTTTTTTCCCTTTTTTGGAATTAATCTGAAAACATACTTGTACAAATGTATCATGTAGGCACCTGCTTCTCTGTTTCTCTCTATTAAGCTCTCATTATTTGGGTAAATGAGAGAAAAGCTCTTTGTGAATCAGAAAGTAGATTAGGGGGATAAATAGATGGGTGGATGATAGGATAGATGGAAAGATGGATGGATGGGAAGATGGATGCGTGGATGGGTGGATGGATGGAAGAGTGGATGGACAGATGGACAGACAGATGGTTGGATAAATAGGTGGATAGTTGGATGAGTGGACATATTTTTTGCATACTTGTCTTTCCTACTAGATGCCCATCACTATATTAAGTGCCTCAGTATTATATAAATGGAATTTAAGACCTGAATTGGACCGTTAACAGGAAAAGGGTAAGGAGAGTTTGTGTTTTCTTTTCCAGTAGGTGTAAAGTTTAAGACTGGATTTAATATTGATAGCCTATATATATATATATATATATATATATACATATATAAGTTATATTGGGCCTGCTTCATTATTATTCAGTGTTATTTCTGCTAGAATGGAGCTGGCAGAATGAATTCTAAGGACATATAGAGCAGTTCCCCTGTAATGTGATCCTCCTTTGATTTCATGGAAAAGACTATTCATAAGTTTTCCCTTCCCTTGTGATTTGGAATGTGTAAAGAAACAGGAAAAGTGCTGTATTTATGCAAACTTCTTGAAGTACAGATTCTTTGAATTCATTGCAAGGAATTTATGAGATAATGTAGTTTTCAGCCTTTCCTGACCTCTAGAGCTGCATGGTCTTACATGGTGGCCACTAACCACATGTGGTTATTTAAATAAAACTAAAAATTCAGCTGTCTAGTCACACCAGCCACATGTTGAGTACTCAGTAGCCACACGTGACTCTACTGGACGGTGCAGACACAGAACATTTCCATCATTGAGGAAATTTTTATTGCACAGTGAAGAAGAGAGTGCTCTGTGTCTTGGGGTCCAAATCTCCTCCCCGAGATCCATGTTAGCTACTCTCTCATTGAGGGTATCGGGAATTCCTCTGATCGGTAAATATCAAATGACTCCCACCTGCATGGGCCCTTCCGATCTGTAAGTTATCTTCTACTGGAAGATACCCAAAAG